AAAGATTAAAAAAAGAAATTATATATATTTTTAAAGTTACACATTTTACATAATACACACCCTGTGACAGTTCTGCGGATTTAGCATCCAGGTATATATTGCACAGTTTTTTAACGGCATATATATATATTTATAAAACGGACAAGTCAAATCAAGCAATCTGATTGGTTCTTAGCCGTGATATACTGAGCGTATACCATGGGTAGAATTGTAAGTTACTTTTCACAACAAGTCAGTATCGCTCCGCGTCTACGAAAAACAGTATACCGATGGGCTGAAAAGCTGAAACAAGAAAGCAGCGGAGAAGTAACGGGGCAGAAACCCTCCTTTTTACGCAGCGGTCCAGACATAGACATCAAACGGCAAAACATATTCAGTGTGCAGTTCCTTTGGCATTAGGGCAGGGATATCTATACTTTCCAAGGTTTGACATAATGAATTGTGCTACTTTTAAAGCAAGCAACGATGTTTTCAAATCTGTAATCAAAGAGGTCCGCAAAAACACTATCGACCAATCAGATTGCTTGATTTGACTTGTCAGTTTTATAAATATATTTGCATTTCTTCAGTTACGAAACAAACTTACAAAGCCTAAGATGGAAACATTTAAGATTAACTTCGACCTCCGGGGGGGTCTTACTATGGAGGAGTGGATTGAGCAGTGCCTATCTCCAGAACTCAAGAAAGCACCTAAACGACGACATGCAGAGCTACGTGAAGAGCAGGTAGACCAACTGGAAAAGTACCACCATTCAAAAGCTTTCTGATGCGGGTCTTGAAACAAAGCAAAGAAATTATGACCGTTAGTGGCCACAGGTGCGAAAGCTCCCTCCAGAGCTATTGGAAGAAGCCCAATCTCGGGGACCCGAGAAAGTGGAGCAATATTCTCGCCACGCCAAGCAACAGCCTAGAACAACCTCAACCTATACAAGTGACCACGTAAGCCATGCTACTGATGCTGGACAGTTTTTCAGTGGCTGCACAATAAACAGCAACATACACATTAATGTAAATAAANTCCGCTGCTTTCTTGTTCCAGTATGAAAAGCTTTTCTAAAAACGGACAAGTCAAATCAAGCAATCTGATTGGTTCTTAGCCGTGATATACTGAGCGTATACCACGGGTAGAATTGTAAGTTACTTTGCACAACAAGTCAGTATCCCTGCGCGTCTGAGAAAAACAGTATACCGTTGGGCTGCAGTTTGCTTTTCATACTGGAACAAGAAAGCAGCGGAGAAGTAACGGGGCAGAAAGCCTCCTTCGCGTCGGGCCGAACCACGCCCCTTAGCTGTGATATAATGAGCATATACCACGGCCTGAAGTGAGCTATTGCTTAAATATATGTATGTATATAAATAGTAATATACATTTGCACATTTCTGCTTTAACTTCCTATGTTTGTATTCATATTCTTTCTATTTTATTTGATGTTTTATTGGACATTTTACCTCTAAAAAATATAAATATCTTTATTTTATTTAGTATTTTAATTAAACATTCCTACTTTAACGTCTTGTGTTTATATAAATTGTTTTTTTCCATTTTTTTTTTTTTGACTTAATACCTTTTTTATTATACATATTTTTTATTTTATCGTATCTTTTATTGAACATCTTACTTTTACTGAAGTTCTTATGTTTATTTGAATAGTTTTATTCCAATTTTATCTTTTTTGGGACTTTTTCAATTAACCTTTTTTTTTATAGGAAAATCTCTTTTTATTTTTCCTGCAAATTCTTACTATTAAAATATTCTGATACACTCAAAAAGTAATTAATACGTAGAGATATGTATTAACATTTTGATGCTTTGACGATATTTTTCTATTTACTTCAATGAGAGCAATGAAGTCTTTTTATATTTAAAATAATGTAAACAATGTGTTTTACATCATTTCTCCAGGGCGTTGAAGTACCTCCACGACTTGGCTGAAGAAGAGCTCGGTCACCCCAACGATGACTTGGGCTCCCAGCCGGAGAGCAAGGTCCCTCGCACAGAGTGGAAAGGTCTCAAAGGAAACAAAGGTACAGTGGAAATAAATAGATTTTTACAAATGTACCAGGTTCGTTAAAGGCCTTGGGACTTTTGTTGAATGTTTTATTTATTTATTTATTTAATAGTTTATTTGGCAGGGACAATGCACAGTAACTAATGAACACTTAAAACATTAAAATGTGTCAATCGTAACAGTGCCAGATTTAGCTTTGAGCTAATTTCCATTCCTCTGTCCTTCTCCCTCATTTCCAGCCTCTTACCTTCTCTGTCAAATAAATGCAAGAACACACACACAACACTTTTTATAAAATGTGTCACACTCTCAGTTAAAGATAACTAGCTTTGTATATCATGTTCTAAAGTGAATAAGACACTGACTGCGGGGACTCAGTTAAACTGCCGTAAGTCACTGTAGTTGCAAACAACACTGTATTCTACACCTGAGTGTTTTCCTTAGGTATTAGGAGTTTAAGTGTAGTGTTATCTTTTTGAGAGGCTAGCCTTTGTTTCTAGTTTTTATGCTAAGCTAATCACACACTGGCTCCATCTCCATGAGAAAGGAATAGATATTCTCTACTGTTTCCGACAGACCAGGGCTGAGAGGGCGTCCAGCCCGAGAGCGGGGAGGGGGGGGGATTCCGGTTCTTTTTAGTGAGCCGGATCATTTGGCTCGGCTCACTAAGAAGAGCTCCTAAACCACTCTTCATTTTACCACAGTTCACCACAGAGCCTCATACCCTTGCCACACGAGGACGAAAACGGTCGTTTCTGGTATGTTTCTGTTGCCTGCTGCGTGTGGACGGAAGACTTTTTTGATAACGATTGCGGACCGTTATCGCTTTTGTCCTCGTGTGGCAAGGGCATCAGTTTCGCCGCTGCGAGGCTCCGGCGCTCGTAGTTCACGCGCGTGCTCCACTAGCACCCCCCGTCAAGGCTCGCCGGCAGTACACTTTCCGTCAAAGGAACACGCTTTGCTGGCGGCGAAAAGAATCCCACCAGACTCCTTTGCCCCTCCAACAGAGGGGTGTTTTTGTCCTTTTTCCTTTTCGTCATTTCAAGCGATAAAAACTCTCGATCTTCTCTCTAACTTTTTTTAGAGTTTTTTTTTCCCTCTGCTCGAGTTCAGGGCGTTCCGAGCTGAATAAGGGCGTCAAATGACGGCAAGACGCCCCCCTGGCGGAAACGCTAGGTTTGGGAAAGAAAGCATGGAAAATGTATTCTTCAAATCCGTATTGCTGACATGTTAGATATCATAAAGCTTTGTAAGAAAAAGTGTGATAGTATCTAAATCATCAAGTGACATTCAGGACCAGTTCTGTTCCCCATTAGGTGTTTTCTCACAGCTCACCACAATTTGTCCTTCTCTATTTGAAATCCTGGTTCCAGGCTGAACGTTTAGCATCATGGTAGTGTAGCATTATGCTAAGATAAGAGGGTGACGTGCATGTCCCAACACTTCCTGTCATGTAGTTGTGGGTTAGAGGTCAGAGGTCAGGGCAAGCATAGATCACAAATAGCAGGACAGTAAACGCTTAGCCCAGTTTGTCACTTCTCTGATTGAGGCCTCTTGGAAACCATTTCTATTAACATTTATTGTTTTTACCACCTGTCATCCACAAAAAGTTATTTTAATTAATGTATGTTATATTCAATTCCTATGTCATACACGTTTTGCACTGTTGTATATATCTCTGTGTGATTTTCTTTTTATACATATTTAATGAGAATTGTTGGTCAAAAGAGAACAACTTTATTTGCTAATGAATACATTTCTGATCTAGTATTGATATAGTTTGTCATTTTAAAGTGACAATAGACAACTTTCCCCCTCTTAACATTGTATTATAGTTAAATAAGTTCAAAAATAAACGTGTTTATTGCCAGTTTAGTTATTTTAGACATACCCTACTAACATTATTTACCTATATCTCTCCCTTAACATTGATATCTCTTTGGCATTATTCACCTGCAGGGGGTAAAGGCAGAAAGCGGAAACGTGCAGACTCCGACTCTGCAGGAGACGAGGACTTTGTTCCAGATGCTGGTGAAGAGGAGGATGCTGAGGATATGGAAGATGAAGACGAAGAGGAAGCAGCAGAGGAATCGGGCTCGGACTCAGAGGCATTTGGAAGAACTCCAGGAACCTATAATGTGAACCGAGGCCCTGTAAGTCCAATCTGATGCTTCATTGTTATTGGTCATTTTCACATTTTACCCAGAAACTAGTAAACAGCTTTGAAATAAAACAGCAACAGCAGCATCTTCTTTCATTTACAATCGAAAGGATTCATAACTGCGATAATGACTGTTCCGAAAATGAAAATCCTTATTATTTTAATTAAAATGAAATGTTTTTTGAGATACAACGTAGATATCTGCAGGACTGTTGCTGAAAAATGAGAAATAACATATGCACATATTAAAGTGGTGCAGTAATGAGTCCTATAACCCAGAACCACTTCCTGTTCCCTCGTCTCAAAGACAAGGTTTTTAAGAACATGTTTTTGGTTGTTGGCATGAAATAAGGTGTTTAACACAAGCTGAAGAGATTTCAATTCTACGTCATAATTTGCGGTTGCTATCAAGTGTCTAAATGACTAAACGTCATCACGCCCAACATTAGCCACATTAGCCAACTCTTAGCAGTGGTGACGTGAAGTCACGTAACCGTACTGTAGTTTTTTTTATAGCTCAACATTAGCCACCTTTAGCTTAGCGGTTGTGACGTGAAGTCATGTGACCGTGCTAT